TTTAGTGTTTATGGTTTGTTTAGGGTTCAGACTTTAGGGTTTAGGGTTTGTTTAGGGTTCAGAGTTTAGTGTTTATGGTTTGTTTAGGGTTCAGAGTTTAGGGTTTAGGGTTTAGGGTTCAGAGTTTAGTGTTTACGGTTCAGGGTTTATATAGGGTTTCATTCTTCCTTGACTGCTGGACAAGCGGGGCTTGGCAACGAACAACTCCTTAACCCCTCAAGCCTTAAACCCTAAACAGGAAACCCTAAACCCCAAGCCTTCAAACCCTAAACCCCAAGCCTTAATTCCTAAACCCGGGGTTCCAGGCGTACACTCAGTGCCGAGCTTATCTGCTAGAGCTCTCTTGCTATCGGACTCGGAAACGGCTCAGCAGGTCCTGCATAGGGGGGTTATTCCTACGAGGTGTCTGAATCAGGGCACCCGGATTCGGAGCAGCCCCCACTTACTGCACGGCTTCTTTTTCCGCAGCGCTGAGGTGGACTCTGTTGTTCGGCTTGCACCTGCGCCATGAATCCACTGGAGTTTAGGGCTTAGGGTTTAGGGTTTGACCTGCAGAGTCTGCAATGCTGCAGAAGGCGTACCAATTCTGCGAAGTGTTTAAACCACTTGAAGTTGTCGGTGGGCAATGGGTCAGCAAGTATCAGCAGGGTCTTCTGCAAAAGCTAGGGTTGCCGATAGATGGTGCTTATGCAGATGGCAGCAGGCTTGATGCTGACAAGCGTGGATGATGGTGGTCATCGTGATTGTGATGATGACTATTTAAACGGTGTTCCTCATGCTCTTGATGACGACCATGACGATCATGATGACAGAAGAGATTGATCTGATAATGACGAAGGGTATGTGGATGAGTCTAGGATGAGTTCCCCACGTTGCGTCTACATGCCCCAGCTTCAACAGTCGCAGCTCATGATCTGATATAGGTTTGCGACTAAATCCAACTTTTTCCGCCGCTGCGGGTACCTTGGAGCTTTGCGCTATCTTGGAGGTTCATGGGTAGTTATAAGTGGTGCTATAAGTCCCCTAACATGGGTTATAAGTACAGTTGCCCTACGATAACCTCGTTTATAACTACCCATGAACCTCTCCCTAAACCCTAAACCCTAAGCCCTAAAAGTACTTGTGTGTTTCGGGTCAGGGCGCAGGGCTTGGTGGGTCTTCCGCAGAGTAAAAAAGGGGCCTTCATAATTAGAATAGGGTGTTGGGGGCTCCTTTAAAGGATTCCTTAAAACGGAGACACTATAAAGGTTATTATAAGGGGTTCTATAGTATAGGGGCCTTAATAATTCGAATAGGGTTGCTTTTAAAGGGTTCCTTAAAAAGGATACTATAAAGGTTGCTATAAGGGTTTAGGGTTTAGGGGCCTTAAAAATTAGAATAGGGTTTGGGGGCCCATTATACTATAATTATAACAAGGAGCCCCGAAATAATGTTGGTAATTATTTAGGCCCCTGCATTAACTTAGTAACGGTTTGGGGGTTTAGGGTTTAGGGAGCTGAGGGAGTACCCTTCAGACTTTTTGGAGAATGCAATCCCCTAGAGGACTGACAGTGCACATTTTTTTGGGCCCTAAACCCCAAACCGCAGCAACTAAGGTAAGCCAACGGACAAACTAACTAACCTAAACCCTAAACCCTAAACTCTAAACCCTAAACCCTAAACCCCTAAACCCTAAACCCTAAACCCTAAACCCTAAACCCTGAACCCCTAAACCAATAAACCCCTAAACCTTCCGGCAAGCATCTCACGATTTTCACATGTTGATGTGACCCAAAACTCCCTAAAGCCCTAAGGCTCGAACTCCTCAAACCTTTGGACCCGAAGTCCTCTAAAACCCTAGGACCCGAAGTCCAACTCCCTAGAGCCTTAACCTTAAATATAGAAGCCTACATAAGTACCAATATTATTCGTAGGGTTCTTTACTATAAATCTACTATAAAGCAGCCCGAAACCCTTTCTCCAATTATTTAGGCCCCTACATTACACACTGTTTCAGGGATTTTTTTTGGCGCCTTCGGGCGGAACGTTCGGGGATGTCCGGTCGTGCGTTGAGAGGCTGGAGCTAAGGGAGCTTGAAGGGAGCCCGATTTTTGGGTTCCTGTTAGGGGATTTAGGGTTCAGGGTTTTTGAGTTCGTATTAGGGTCGCTATAATGACAAGATACCATGATAGGGTTCTTGATTCTGACAGGGTAGTATAACAAGGTAATATTAGAGGGTTACTGTAGTGGCAGTCCATTCCGATAGCTTCCTGAAGCAACTTCTTTCATTCTTCCCGGACACTGCGCATGAGTGGCCCGGAAGCTGTATGGCCTGCTGAGCACTAAACCTGGACTTTCTTCGCAGACGAGCGGGTGCTAAATTATGTCTAACTTCCGACCAACCCGCGACTTCAGTTTAAGCGCCCTCAAACCTGGCACTTCTCAACCCGGAACCCCGAAATCTTAGAAGACAGCACAGCGACAAAGCCACCAGGACGGCGGGGTTCCGCAATGCTTCCTTCCATGTAATGTCAAGATTCAGAACCACGGCCAAAATGCTTCCTCGACATTTTGGCGGGATTCACAGACTGTACCAACATGTTTCCCCCCGTTGCTGACGGGATTCAGGACCACGGCTAAACTTCTTGCCCCTGCGGGCTAGGGCACTGTGGCTACTGCACCGTTGTGGCTACCGGGCCACTGCTGGCCAACTGGGCCTCTGTGGCTACTGGACCACTGTAGCTGGCGGTATTCCGACAGGCCTCATCACAGCTGTAACTGGCGGAGCCTTCCGCTCGTGTGGCCGGGCAGGCCGCGCGTGAGCATTAACCAAGACATAAAGAATCCCGTAGTGTGTACCATGTTGTTGCGGCAACAGTAGCAGCTGTAACAAACACAATAAGGACGCCGCTTCTTACTTCGTTACTGTAGTGATGTCAACGGTGCTGGCATTTCCCTGCTTGAAAATGGAGCGAAACCAGAAAGACTAGAGCATTGACATGAATGTGATCTCCAACCTACGCATTGCATAAGGGATTGCCAATTTTTTGGCAACAGAGGCAAGTGGTTGAAGTGGTGGTCTTTGCGGCATTTTTGAAATTCCTTTGCATCTGACTTTGCATAGCAGCTTCCAGCGCCACTAGCATTTCCCATTGCTGCAGACATGGAGTGTACGCATGACACACCTGCCACTTGCTTCCGCACTGCAGACAGCCCAAATCCAGGCAAACAAGGCAGCGTGCTTTCGCAGGGTGGGAAACGGCACCCTGGAACAACGAACATAATCTTGTTCCCCTCAGCACAATCCTTCGACACAAAAGGATTTGCGGCTGGCTCACACTGCCTGTGTCCCGTGAAAATGAGTTCCGCTCGAAAACGCACAGACTCACCGGCGTCAAATGGCCATGTGCGGCGCTGGCCAGGACGACAACATCCATACAGCAACTATGAGGATCCTCGAAATATACCCAGAGCAAAGACCCCTTAACATAGTGTAGTATGGTATGGTAAACTATAGTATGGTATAGTGTAGTGTAGTGTAGTATAGTGTAGTATACTATATACTATAGTACATGCTAGGCATGAAATCATGCAGGCGTACAGAGCAGCTTCCACCCACGTCCGAAGTCCAGCGACCAGCTGTTGGACGGCACTGCGTGCGTGCCCTCTGGGTTTTTTCCGGCAGGTGGCACCAATAGAGTGCCATCATGAGACCGGGCACAGTACTTAGTTCCCCAATAACCAACTTTTAAACATTTTGGGCTCTTATAAGTTAGTAACAATTTATCTGAAAGTTTAACCTTTTATTTCCCTGGCCTATTGGGGAAGTAAGAGTACCTGTAGAAATCATTGAGACTGCTGCTGGACATCCTGCAACATTATCCGTGTCAGAGGAATCCCTAAACCCTAAACCCTAAACCCTAAACCCTAAACCCTAAACCCTAAACCACTGTTTGGATTCAGTTTAAACTCAGGTATGACTGTTGCAGTATCTGGGCTTCTATGAGGGCATGAGGGTTTCAAAGTTAATATGAGAACTACACTATGAGTATACCTCAGCACCTAATTATGAAGGCCCCTATGTTGGGAGTCTGTAGCGTTTGAGGCTTGCATGAAACGGGCCTCTTTTTGGGTTTAGGGTTTAGGGTTTAGGGTTTAGGGTTTTATGATTTTAGTGTTTAGGGGTTTAGGGGTTGTGGGCTTAGGGTTTCCTTCTCTCCAAGTATTCTGGCAGAAGGACTACGGTTTAGGGTTTAGGGTTCAGGGTTTAGGGTCGCCGTTGTGATAGGTTTGATGTCGTAGAGGCCCCGAAGCATAAATTCCCAAGTGCCTAAACCCTAAACGTGCAATGCCAACTCGATTCTGAACCCTAACCCCTCGTCATCCGTACAGGCAAGATTCCCAAAATCCTGTGGAGATGCTGTGACCCGTTTCGTTGTCTCTCGAATCTCCGCACGGAGAGACCCTGGGACTTTTCCGGGGTGTTCGAAGCGACACAGCAAAGCAGAGGGCCGTCTTCTTGCGCCCTCCGCAAAGCAACAGCGGGCGGCTGCAGCAAAGCCACTCAACCCCAGAAGTGATCATACTAGTGACTCTATTGCATTGGGGCCTTCAACATGGAAGTGGGGTTCCTTTACTTTACGGCGTCTTTGAAAGGTTCGGAGGTTGTCGAGGTGTGGGGTTGTAGTTTTCGGGCGACTTCCCGTTCCTGCTGGTGGCTGCTTGAGCCCCACGAGTCACGCGAGTCAGGCCTGAGATGAGTTCTGACCACATTTTGCCTCATTTCTGCGAGAAAAGCTGGAGATCAGGAAGCTTAAAGGGTTTAGGGTTCAGGGCTATATAAACCCTAAAACCCTTTTGGGGTCTAGAGATATGTTGGGTTCGCAGAGCAATCATGTCGTTGGCTTCAATGATCAATCATTGGCACTGTCCCCACTTCTAGGTTTTTCCTTACCCGAAACCCTAAAATCAAAGGATATGTCACAATATAAATATGGGGTCCGAATGTTTTGTAAACGTCCCTACGTAGCTGGTCATACGCCCAAAACCCTGTTCTAATCCCTTCAACCTAAACACTCGGGTACGGTACCACGAGTTCGGTGTTCCGTATAGTCTAGTGTAGTATAGTATTGTATGGTATGGTATGGTCTAGTATAGTACAGTAAAGTACAGTATAGTATAGTATAGTATAGTATAGTATAGTATATCCTAATATGAGAGATGATACTAAATCGTTGTTTTTTCTTGTTTATTCTCTTCTCTTCGGTTCGATTCTATGTATTCTATTCTATAATTGCGTTGCATTACGTTATTAAGTATTAACTATGCTATAGGATATTGTAGCGTCGCAGAGTATTCAGTATTCATTGGGCACTTTGACGATTCATCTCTTAAAAACTTTTCAGGGGGTTGTTAAGATGGGACGTGGCACGAGGTAAGTGCTTGCTTGCAAGTTACCTGTATAGGCAGCATTGTGCAATCTGGTAGGAGCGTGGAAAATGTGACCTGATAAGGGTGTCTAGGGCCCTGGGGGTATTTATGGGTTTAGGGTTTAGGGTTTAGGGATTATATTTTAGGGTTGTGCAGATCACAATAACAGCGTGTGTCGAAAACGAGCGCCACCGCCCAACACATGGGAAGCGATAAACATTCAGAACTAATACCAAACAGAAATGGAGAGAACGATTTAACCCTAAACCCTAAACCCTAAACCCTAAACCCTAAACCCTAAACCCTAAACCTAAACCCTAAGCCCGCCTTGTATGGGAGTTTCGGAAAGCTTGGGGACAGCTCTCAGGGCCCTTGTGCTCTCTATGACTCTATGAGGATCGCATGATCGTTTAGGGGTTTAGGGGTTTAGGGTTTAGGGTTTAGGGTTTAGGGTTTAGGATCTACTGTGAAGCTCCCATATGGGGGTTTCCGAGAATAGGGGACCCTAATATAGCACCCTAAATAATAAGAACCTTATTATAAGGACCCCCAAATAAGGTACCCCCCTATTTTCGGAAACTCCCATATAGAACAGTTTGGCTTAGTCGCTACAGGTGCCCTGTCGCTCCGTGGCGGCTTGGCGGGACACCTGGCGCCAGCTTGCCCAGCAGGACAGCTGAGTTTCCACACTTGCTTAGAACTTTAGGGCCTTAGGATTTAGGCTTCGGGCTTACGAAGCCTGATGTTTGTAAGTATGGAGGGTCTTGGAGATCCCAGCAGCGCGCCCGCCAGTACGACTACGCCCCCGCGACGACTAGTACTCCCAGTTTTCACTGTAGTATTGAGGACTACTAGCACAGGTCGTGCTACTTGTACTACAGGAAGTTGTACTACTTGAAGCAGCAGTAGTACCGTGCTAGGAGGCGGAAAAGTAGTCGTCCAGTCGTCGCAGTCGCATTCGTAGTCGCAATCGTAGTCGCAGGCGTAGTCGTAGTC